GTCTGTGCTGCTGATTCTCCAAGGTCCCCCACCATTCTCTCCTTTCCGGGCATAACCGTGGGGTTAAACAGCATAGCAAACCTTGTGTGGGCCCCTCTGTGTGGGGCGAGCTGCACCCTTAGAGCAAACCAAGCTTCACACTGGATGGTGGGGCAGGAGCGGGAGATCAAAGAGGGAAACGCTGTGTTGCTGCACCACATCTTCTGGGTCTGAGCCTTTTCCTACTTCAGCTGCAAAGCTCATGCTCGCTGAGCGATGGTGTAGGCATGGGGGGATGTCGTAAGTATCTCGGGAGGAAAAATCAAAGGGCAATATTGAAACTGAGGCAGGGAAAGGAGATGGTATTGCTTAAATTAGACCTCTCTCCTATATTGTCTTTTGCACAGGAGGAAAAAGTTAGTTTCTTTTTATATTTTGGGCCTGCCTGGAAGATGTTGGGAAGGGCTGTCTTAGACTGGTGAGGGCAAAGGCATCTTCTATTTTAAACCTTTGTTAAAGGGAAAAGGACAAGCGTAGGAGGGTAGGAGAAAGGAGAGATGAACGTTAGCAAACTTAATTGCAAGCAAAAGCATTTGTGAAGGGGTTTGTCCCGAGAAGACAAGCGCTAAGGTTTTGGGGGCTCTCTACTGTTACACAGATACGAGATTAAGCATTAAGAAAGGCAGTAATTCTGTCGCTTAAGTCAATAATTAAGCTAATGAAGGACCTAAAACAAATGATTGTATAGGAAGTACATGCAGGGCAAATGTCAGCAGGCAACCTAACTCTACCTTCAGAAGTTTTTAGACGTTTTAGCAGTTTTATAAATACCCACTTTCGTGTGTATCTATCTGTGGCTCTGCTGAATCTCGCCCCCATCTCTGGGCCATCTCTGCCCAAAAGCCAGAGTCACATTTAAATTAAGCAGTGACCTCTGGATCAAAAATAAGTGTCACATGCTCAAGAAGAGGAGAGAGTGATGGTCGTGCTTTATGGCTTTAAGCCTCAGGTTTTGTTTGATAACATTAACTTCCTTAAGGTCTCCCTTCTTTTTTTTCTTTTCTTTCTTTTCTTTAAATTGAGGGGTTTTTTTGTTCTTTTTCATATAGATTAACTTTTCCCTCAAGAAAAGGTTCATTTTTGTCCAATTTTTCTTGGTAAAATTTATAGTATGTAGAAGCATGTTAAATTTGGCAAAAGTGTTTTGCTTTCCGTAAGTAAACACAGAGGTACTGAGGACCAATTCAAGACTGTGGGAAGTGCTGCCATGGCCCCACGTTCCACATTTTACCTACGGCATTTTCCCAGGAGGGGTAAGCCCCTCTCCCACTACTGTCTAGGCTTTTCAGTATTCTGAAGACTGCTCCACAGACATGCATTTAAAACTCCCAAATCTCGCCATTTGGATGGGGTAACTGGTGGGGACGTTGGCCGCTGTTTCAGGTGGCTAGAGAAAGACTGGTGACTTTGCAGAGAGGAGTAAGGCTCTCTGACATGCCAGTGGTGCTTGTTGGGAACGTACCTCGCTCCTCCTCTCCTATCTGCAGCTCTGAGGCTTCCTTACCACTCTCGGCTCCTTGGTCCTGCCCCAACAGTTTTCCTCACCACCTTAAAGGAAAAATACTGAGTATTTATTAAGGACTTGGACTTAACATCGTTACATGACTTGTATTTCTCAAGAATAGATGAAGAGGGGATGGTTTACCTCAGAGTCCGGGAGTTTTGCCTGTAAATAACCGCCTGTAATACCTGTCCCCTTTGCTGTAATGAACCAAGGTCTAGTCCTCCTCTACTCTTCAGAGGGAAAGCCCTTATTCACTCTGGTATTAGCCACTACCTTATTTATTTCTTTTCCATGGCTATTAGTATTGAATCAAACTTTGTTTCTGAGGTTTAGAGAGAGGAAAGATGGTTTTAATATTGGCTCTAATTATGTATTTTGCCTCAAGCCACTGACACAAACGTGTATTTGCTCAAGGGTCACCAGAGAAGTGGTTGAAAAGAACCTAAAGATTTTAATTGGAATTTGATTCACATTCATGTTCAAGAATTCAGATGATCCTTTTATCAGAACAAGTAAAGTCTTAAAATATTGAATAGAAAATATTGTAGGAAAAAGCTTTCTTGTGGTGTTTACAAAAATTTTTGGTCAGGGCAAAAATTCCAGGGAAGCTGACTTCCGCTTATAATTTTACTACTTCTGTGTTAAATTTAGGAACTAAAAGCGAAAGAAACAACTTAAACCTTTTGGCTTTTAATTCAAAATGGTCCAAAACTAAGTAATTTGGCTTTCTATTCACTATAGAAGAAAGTGCTACAGAGGTCTAACGTTAACCTCAACCAGCTAACTTTTGTGACAGCTACAAATTTGTGTTTCTGTTACCTCAAGTAAATACTTGTTAAGCGTATGCATTTTTTTGTAGTGATGATGGAGTCAAAATGACTGCTTTGCTTCTGCTGTATGTATCTTGGAGCTGGATTTTTCTGTGAAGTCTGTGGAAGCTTGTTACCACGTTAAATGCCCAGCTTTCATTAAATCCAATCCTGAAGGGTAAGTAAATGAATCCCGAATTTCGCATTTGAAGGTATGTGTGCTTTTCATGGATTTATGCCAACTAGATTCTAGATTTAAAGAGGCATTGTGATAACCTTAACCGCACTGTGGCCAGACTAAACCTCAAAGATCTTGTTCCTAGGGGCGCTGCTCTTTGAAGTGGCACCACTGACAGTTTTAGCTACTGTAGGTATTTATGAGGTACAAAATGATAAAGTAAATAGGCATAAAATGTGATTTTAACAGCATTATGAGCATCATCAAACTGGGTTATATTCTTGCGTTCCAAGCATTTGTTTGCTCAATTTGAGTTTTGTTTTCTCTCAGCTCTTTTCTTTTTTCCTTTTCTCTTTTTCTTTTTCTCTATGAACCTGCCCTGAAGAAACATAGAAGAGTGTTTGCCAACTACAATAGAAAATCTCTAAAAGCCTAGATGTATGTATTTACTATGAATTGAACTTGCAGCTCTTAATACTGTGTGTTTAGCCTGTTTACTCACCAAAATAGTTGGAGGAATATCTGTGCATTTTCCACATTGCTTCCAGTGTGCTGCTTTGTTTGTTGGCGATTTATTAATGATACTTGTGATTTATTACTGTCACTTTATTAGATTATGTGCAAATCGGTGACAAAGCATTATGTGGATCATGCCTTGTTAGTCATAAAAGCATTCAAGAAGCCATGAAAATCAGTTAAGCTTGAACCTATTGAACGAAAGAGCATAGTGCTGTCTATTGATCAGTAGCCTTTAGATATGTAATGAATAGCAGTACTTTGGACACTGTCAGATAGTGTTTTCCTTTGGATCTGATAAATTACACTCTTTTGTATTAGTGGTTCGAGATTTGACATAAAACACTCTTGTATTGGTATTTCTTTCAGCTCCAGTACTGTGGTGAACTTACATCACCAAGGCAGATAAATGTTACTAGAAAACCCGATATTTTTCTCTTCCAACACAGTTTTAGCCATTGAGTTAACACTGATCTAACTTTCATATATGGCAGAAGATTGAGGGCCAGCCTGCAAATAGTTTGTAGAATATATTTATAGCGTATGTGCATGATATACGCAATATCTCTTTCATATATGAATAACATATACATATTTGGACTGTAGCTATCTAATTTCTTTATTAATACAGATTATATCCTGAATTTCTTATTGAACAGGCAAACAATATGTAAGATTAAGTCCTCATTTGTTGTTGGCTTGAAGGGTACTTTGTTTCTATTTACAATATGAGGACTTGATTTCTTCCTGCTTTGCATTTTGTACAGCTATTTACACAAAAACAGAGCTGGGTTGTAGATAAAAGTTACTACTTTTAACTGGATAAAGTTGAAGGCAGAGTCTTACATCTGTGTCATTCTCTGAAGGATATCCCCATTAATACTAATAGTCAAATGCTTCGGAGGATCACGTTGTTCACTAGGACGTTCTTCTGGGTCTCTTCTCTCCCCCCCTCCACTCCTCTCCTGTGTAAGAAAAATTAAATATTCACAAGAATGAGCCCAGTAGTCTCCCTTGTTAGCAGGATTAGGGGCAATAAACTCCCAGCAGCTTCTTTTTCGGGATGTTAGTTTTCTAGTGCTCCCTTCAGTGTTTGCTCAGGTTATCTATGTTTGAATTAGTTCCTCTCAAATGAGCCTGATTTAGGCAATAGTAGCCATAACCTCTGGGGACAGGCTTGGCAGTACAAAAGAACAGCGACATTAGTTTGAACATCAGCAGTGCCCTGGCATGTCAAATAAGCAAAAGGTTCCATTTAACTCAAGTTTAAGATATTTTGGCTGTGTTTGCAGTTTCAGGCAAAATCCAGTCACACTTAGATCTAACAGTGAGAGCAAGAGCAGTGTTTGGTAAAATCTTTGACCCAGTGTTTTCTGCCTTTCAAGCGCACAAGTATTCAGTCCCTTACTCCTCCTAAGCACAACACTGTAATGAAGGCTGAGAGCTGAATTAAAAAAATATTAATACAAGTAGAAATGGCATAGTAAGCAGATAGTCTTCTCAGACTTTGTGAGCCTTTACTTGAAGCTACTATTTTTCCGGCTCCCCGGAACATCTGTTTTGAGACTGACTCTGGAGACCCCAGTTGTATCAATTGTTTTCTTCCAGCAAAAAGTCTTAGCAGGTTAACCAGCAGTGACAATTTCAGCGTGCAAATAAAACTGTTTGCTAAGGTGGATGAACTGTGCCTTGTCTGTTGGTTTAGCTACCGATTTCAGGCCAGAAGGCCTGCAATTAATATTTTGACCTTTTCGGTTACTTCTGTATGATTTAATACAATTAATTCCCATTTTAAGCTGATTGTAAAGCTCTCTTGGCAACACTGCAACACAGTGACCACCTAAATAGTAAATGAAAACATAGCTAAAAAGAGTGAAAGCTTAGCAACATCTGCAGTACATTAAGAAAGGTTTTCAGCTCTAACACATGACCCAAGCACCCAGCATCCTTGCAGAATGTCTTTTACTGCAGCATGGTTTTGCTCTGGTCTTTCTCAGAGTTGGCTTAAAGGGCATGTAGTCTCCAATGACCACATTAATTGACCCAACAGAATGGATATAGGAGGGAGAAGTGATTACCATCTCAAATCACTATTTTCTATGTAAATTTTTACACAAAATGAGACTAGGTCAATGTCTAGCTCATTTAATAAATGTTTTTTATTTTACGAAAGCAACTGTAATTAAGTTACAGAATTACAAAAGTCTGGCTAAAAATAAAATTTCGAGCTACAAAACATTTTGAGGTTAAAGCAAATAATTTCTGGTGACTGTGTAGCAATCCTGATAAAAAACTTTCTCTGCCTGCTGTCGTTAGCAAAAAGCAAGCCGAATCAGAGTCCCTGCACTTTGAATTTCATTCCAACATTTGAATCTAAATAATTTCATTTTCCGGTGGACAATATTGTCAACACCCAGGTGAGTCAAATAATGACACCCCCCCCAATCATGTTTTGATGAAAAATGAGAGATTCATAGTATAACTTGCCGTAGAAACCAGATAAACTGGGCTGAAAGACAGTTTAATCAGAAAAGTCTTCTATTAGTTTGCTTGCAGTCTTCGAGGTCCTACCTAATTCTATTTCTGCCTTTATCTGTAATCATATATCCTTACCTACCCAGAAGAATCAGTGACAATTTTGGAGAAACCATATGTATGCGGTCCCTCTCATTTATATGTGGCATATTGTTCTATCTATCCACATCCCATTTAAAGACTCGGTTCATCCGTGCTGCCCACAGACAGTGAGGGGCAATAACAAGGGGTGGATATTATTCTGTCTCTATTGAGTAAAATCCTTCTCTGTGGCCTGTCCTGCAGGAAATAATACCAAAAGAAACAAAAAAAAAAAAAAGGGGGGGGGGGGGGGAGGAGAGAGAGAGAGAGAGAGAGAAAGAAACAAAGGGTTTCCCTTCTCTTTTTCCCCATTAAATTGTGTCTTTCGTATCCCCACTCAGCTTCCACACCCCAAGTTTAAAGGTGTTTAGCTAGTGGTGTGCCTGTCATTACCTGTTCTGTGTGACTTAGGAGTTTTAGTAAAATTGAAACTCAAAAGGCTTCATAAATGTGGAACAGGGCTGCCGCTGTTAGTGGTATTACAAGACCTAGCACATTGCTGGTACTTGACTAATAATAAATAATAGCAACAACGACAAAAGAGAGGGCTGATTTGAACACAGCTCTGTGCCCTGTATAGGATGGACCGTAAAAGATTGTAATGTAGCAGTTTGTGAAGTTGTTAGGAGATCAGTAACAGTCCGGTAAATTTACTTCACCGTTTCTCTCAGTGAACAAGGATACATAGCTTAAGAAGAAGATGTATTAGTCAGTGATCTACAGCATAACCTGATGTGGTACAATAGTAGTATTTTCTATTAATGCACTAAATTATAGAGATAGCAAACAAATGTGTTTGGTGTGTACTGAATGACTATTATTAAAGTAAAATACAACAAAAATTGGAATAGTACTTCCTGAGAACCAGAAAGATGCACTTCATCTTTTGTAGTACATATCTCTTCTTAGTTCTTGATTTGGGGACTGATTAAAACCCGGTCATTAGCACCTGACAGTCCTACCTGGAGTTAGCCAAAGCAAGACTCTCCTAAGCTGGTCTTTCCTCTGTGCCTGTTACTCCGTGTGCCTGATGCATACTGCTTTTTATTGAGGGGTCTGTCTTGGGGACCAACTATGGAGAAGGTATGAAGATGAATTTTGGGAAGGACTTTGGTGGGCTGTCAGTGCATGAACAGTTTTAATAATAAAAATAAATAACAATAACAATGGTTTTGTTCTTGTTGGTTGATTGCAATAATATTGCAAAGTGAAAGTAGGATCTTGATCCTAACCTCCACCTCCCCAGGACTAGACTAAAGACTTTTACCATTGTTGCAGTGAAAATCTCTCAGCACCAACTCAATTTGGTTAAGAAAAGAGGGTAAAAGCATGAATAGGGTTGATTTCCTTAAGCAGTTTAGCACGCTGCTGATCACAGAAGTTAAAAAAAAAAAAAAGCCAACCAATATTCAAGTAGGTAACAAACCCGCCTTTGTGAAATGGGATTTTCTTTGTATAGCACTAAGAAATAATTCCATCCATAAAGCATTTACAAGAGATATGAGACTGTAAAGGATCTCTTGAATCTTTGAATCCAGACCTAGCTATTATGTGACTACATTAGTAAAAAATATGTTAGTAATGTAATTTGTATATATTCTGCATGAACTCATGAAGTTTCATCTTAAAATTAGCATTACTCTTGTTGTGCTCTGTTCCAGGATCCTGCTTTACTGAAGGTTGGATACAATCATATCATTAAATGTTTGTTACACTGAACATTTTAAATGTATTTTTATACGTTTTTGAACATATTAAAAAAACCCCAAACACAACGTAACCATGACACAAAGTAGCTATTATGTCCATTAGAAAAGACATTTGTATTGCTGACATTGGAAAGGAGGGTGCAATCTTCAGACATCCATGCCAGTATTTTGGGTAACAACATTTTTATTGAAAAGTAAAACCAGCATTGAGCTTTGTTTGGTTGATTATTTTTTATTTTTTTCCAAATAGAAAGTTCCAAAAAGGAGTCCAAGTGAGTGCTATAAATTATTTTATAAGACAACTGTAGGTTGTATATTACAAAACAACTAAATGAAACTAACCAGAAAGCCTTGGGATTAAGCAGATGAAAAGCCCATTCCAGATGGAAAAGAGCTCAAGAGCCAGAGCTGCCCAGAGTCCAGAATGCTCTGTCAAAATTAGGTTATATTAGTGTAGTCTTGAAAAGGAGGTTTGGAAAAGAGGCAGAGTTGAGACAGCAGTTAAACTGTGTTTGACAGGCTAAATGGAATACGTTTCCTAGCTCCAAATGGCTGCCCAGTGCTCCTGTAATGGGTTTTTTGCTCAAAGCATAATGAGAAGAGAACAGGGAAAATTATTTCATTTGTCCAGACTATAATCAATCACTTCCAGGAAAAGAAGTCTTTTGTGATTTTCCAGCAGCAATACGAGTTGTTAAATATATTAGTTAGTTGTACAAATTGCCTTATGAAAGAAAAAATGAAAAGTTATTAGAGAAACAAGTAAGATGCACAAAATTAATCTGTAAATGTATAACTATTCTTAGTCATTCTGCTGTCTTTGTGCCTCGATACATGCCTTTTTTTTTTCTTTATTGTCTCTAAACTGCCAATAGCCGTAAAAGCATGAAAGCAATAGGAAGGATGGAGAAGTCTCAAAAGAAAAGGGATTTTTCATCTGGCAACATGTCCAGCCCAAAAGCCATAAAGACCTTTCCTGAAACTTTAGCATTGCAAAAGCTTACTAAATTTTGCCAGATTATTTGCTTCTGATGGAAATTCCCTAACGGTACTGGTGGTTTCTGGACAGTGATATAAATGATTACACAAGGTGATGGTAGGCAAATAATTAAAAAGTACTCTGCACAGCTATAATATCCAAGAATTTCTGAGTACCTAAATCTGTATTGTCTTATCTAGTCAGGAGAATATTATCACCCACAAATTTAAACAGCAGGAAAGCTGAATCACAGGAAAGTCAATCTTGTTCCCATTGAAATCAACATTATAATGCTTGGAGACTGCCTTTGGTGTATAGGTTGCAAGACTGAACCCAGGATAGTAAGGATTTGATTTTGCATGCCTATGTGCGCTTAAAAGAAAAGGGTAGAGAAATTATCCTTTTTTTGTGTGTGTGCTGCATGCTCTGAAAGCCACTTTACTCAGGGAGCACAAGAACGGATCCAGTGCTTCTACCTTTCCTAGACTCTCCAGGGGCTTGGACGGAGGAAAAAGATGAGTCCAAACTAATCTCCCCAAATCAAAAAAAAAAAAAAAAGAAAATGTCCATGAACCAAGTAAAGGGAGGAAGTTAGTGGGTGTGCTAATTATTACCTTCCAGGAGTCATCTGACATCCAGGAATTTTCTACAGGCAATATTGTGTCTAAACACAAAACTCTGATATTTTGCAAAGACTCTCTGGAAGGCCCCCTGCACAGATTAATATCAAGTAAATTTGTTATTGAAGCAGCAATGAATGGATGGAGTCTCAGCTGTGGTCCTGAACATGCCTACATGGTGCTCTCCTGCTTTGCAGACATCAGGAAAGCCGTCTCTTGTCATATCATTCTCCTTTCAATGCCACCTGAATCAGTCTGTTATCTTGGAAAAGACTAGGTTCTTTAAAATAATAAGTCAGTTCACAAGCAGATAGCTCTAAAGTGTAAATTTAGGTATTATGTAGCTACGTGTCAGTTTTGTGGACATAATCCTTCAGTTTTAACTGAGCTTTTTAATTTCACCTAAAAAAAGAAGCCAACTGAATTCTTTCAACCCCATTTAATTCCCATCTCTGTGTGCAGCTTCACTTTATGTTTCTTATAACAAAAAGGCTTTTAAAGTTGATAAATGGCTGCAAAGATTTGGCTTTTACTTTGTTGCTTTTCTGTTTATTTAACCAAGAGCAGTTCTTTTAGTCCTGACCTCAGCCTTGTCAAATAGACTGTGTTTGTCAAACCGCTCATGCTCCCATTAACTCCTAGCTGTTCCAATTGTCATGTTTGATGAATGGCTCAAATACTGCTAGCATCATTAAAAGTAGGGATACTGAGGGAAGTATTATGTTATACTGAGTCCAAATACACACCATAAATAGGAAAATTCTAAGCAGAGAAAATCTTTTATTGCATAAAGGAAATTGCAAGTGGTTTAAAACTAATCTCTTTTAATGCCATCTTTCATATGTGCAGGAGACAAGAAAAAGCCCCTCAGGTTTCATGGTTGGTATTATCTCTTTATGGTTAAAGAACATTAGTAGCTTTATAACCTTATTTATACAGAGTTCATGCGAGTGTTTGGGTCTGCTTGGGGGAACGGGCCTGCTTAGCGTGAACAAAAGCGACAGAACCGTTCCCACAGTGCTCTGTAGGTCCAGAGGGTCTGTCCCTTCCCAAAACAGAGCCTGCTGTTTCTGTAAGTCAGGGCTTCCTCTAAACGAAGCCACGCAGCACGATTATTACACGTTATTTCCCCCTCCTAGGCTGACGGAGGCACCGCAGCTCCGGGGTGCACGGTGCTGGGTGTCCTGGCCCCCATCCAGCGGTGCCCTTGGCTCTGCTTGCCTGAGCAGTAACCACAGCTGAGCTTTCTCTAATGACCTGCCGGTAAAAGCTGCGCGAGTTCAGGCTTGCGAGGGTCTGGCAGAACTCGGTTCTCCGGTTACGCTCAAGCTAGTGTTTCAGTTTATATTGTCTGGTGCTCTTGTCTGCCCTTTGTCGTACTTACAGCAAGTAAGTGCTAGCAAGAAGCAGAGTTCAGGATTAGTGCTGGGAAGTTGGGTAATGGCTTCAGCAGAAAGAATAAATATTTTTGTTATTGTTGATGTTGTGTTGTTGTTTTGAATGCTGGGCTTTTTTTAACTGTTGAAGTCTACCTAAAGGCCAAAGAACTTCTGTTCGGGTAATTTTTTACGTTTTTGAGGCAGATAAAATTATTCAGATTAATATTTATACAGATACATTTAAACATGCAAAGTTACACACTTCTAGACTGATGGCCTTGTTATGCTTATTAGGCTCAAGACAGAGTTACTGGTGGTTTTTTATGATTTTGTAAAAAAAAAAAATTTTAATTCTAACTATATGCGCATATACGTATAGGTTGGTTCTAATATTCATGAGTGTTACTCATGTGGAATTTTCATCATGAATAAGTACACTGCTGCAGTATATTTTTCCTGGATGGTGATACAAACTATTACAATGAGGACAGCAGACAAACCATTAAAGTAATTCTGAAATGGCATCAGAAGTAGGTCCTCAAAGTTTATGTTTTCCCAAGCTACAGCAGCACATTGTGTTTTTTTCCTTACTAGAAGATAGAAAGGATTTATTGATCTCAGTCTTTTATGAAACATGGAGAAAGCAAAGAAACTTCCAATTGTGTCAGAAACGATATCAGCCAACGTTTGCCTCCAGTGAGTGTAGCTCTGCCTGGTTGCTTGAGTGCAAACAATGGCAGAAACTGTCTCTCTGCTATCGCAGCTAACTCAAACTTTAGTTTTTGAAATGATCCTTCTAAAACTTTAGTTTTGGAAAAACTTTAGTTTCTAAACTTTAGTTTTAGAAAGATGATGCAGGATGTCAGTTGCTGAGCTTGAGGCATCATTGCCGGAAGTTAATTTTTTGCATCACAGCCAAAGAATAAATGTAAAGGTGTAGCGAGAAGCATCAATAGTTAACGGATTCACTTACGTCCTTTTTCCCTTTCTTAGATGCCCTAAGCAGCAGAGCGCAGAGGTGGGCTGTGGGCTTCCAGCAAGTTACCGCTGCCAGGGAGATTGGGAGCGTGGGCAGCTAGCTCCGCAGAAGCTGTGGTCCTGACAGCACTGGGTGTATTCGAACCACCCCTCTCACCCCACGCACCCACTGGGTGAGTGATAACATTTGTTATTTGCTTCCGGGTGGAAAGGTGCTTCTCTTTGTCTGGACTAGATTACGCAGGTTTGTATGTATTTAGATTGCAGTGATCTGGATGTCAGCTATATAAACTTATTCAACTTTTCATCCAGACAAACTGTGAAATGGTATTACTGTATATAATCATGAATGTGTGTTTCTGTCCTGGGAGGCCTCTGGTACCTGATGTTTGTTGCCTAGGACCCCAAATGTATATTTGGTTTCCTAAATAGTTGTGGGCGTTTTTTTAATCAATGGAGTTCATCACAGTTCTTTTGTTATTCACTGAGTGATAGTGCTGTTAATGAGCAAAATACTTTCATTAGAACAAATACTTTTTTCAGCCTCAATTGTATTCTTGTTTCTGTCTGTACCAGAATTAAATATTAATCAAAACAAAGTAGGAAAGCTGCAATCATTCCCTGATGAGGCTTCCTGCATTTTTAATCACGATTTGTTGCTGTCACTGATTTTCTGTTACTCTCAGGAGTACTGAAACCTACGGAATATGGATTCATTTGATTAACCACATTTGAACTGAGCCTATAGGAACAGGCCCTGTATTTAATATTGCTTTCTATGGGACAGGATTATAACCATCGGGGTAGCTGCATCTCAGAATTAAATATAAATATGTACTATACACAGGTAGGTACCGAGCCCCCAACCCACACTTGCTCTCCCACTGAAAATCCGTGAGACCGGCATTTATGAGAAAATAGACTCGGAGGTCTGGAGGCTCAGCTGGTCTCTCATGAAACGTGATCTTGACCTGGAAAAGTGGGATTGGGGATGTCAGTATCTGCACACTTGTTAAATCAGTGAAGTGAAGAATTTGGCTCATAGTTCACCGAAAAGGCATCAGCAAGGTTAAAGCAAAACATAAGAAAAAGCTTGTTTGCTATGCCCCCTTGTTCAGCATATAAATGATACTGTCAGGAGTTCTGAAGCGAGTGCTGCAGTCTTTTCCTGGAAAGCATCATTGGCAGAAAAATAATTTTCAGCAGAACTCAAGAACTGAGGGGAAAAAAATGGTATAAATCAGTTAACAAGTTGACCCACAGGCAGGCAGACTAAAGAGGCCTCATTTCCTATGGATTTCTGTCTCTTCAGCCTCATGGTCTGCTTTCCAGCTCTCCACCACCACCAGCCCTCCCTTGTCCTTCGTGCCTCCAGCACCTGGCAGGAAGGACTGTATGCGTGGCCAGGGCAGCGCTGCTGCGTGCACGGTCCCGGGCTGCCCCCATTTTGCACAGGACTTGTAAGAACTTGACAGTCGTTGAGACCTCTGCCCTTCTGTAAAATGGAGTTAAAAACTGGGGGGGAAAGAGCAAACAGATGACAGGCAAACATTCGTACAACACGATTATGTTGTAACTTCATTTCCCTAAGGAGCTGTATATTTTTGTGAGTAGTTGGTATTTTTAGAGATTGGATGTTTGACTTATTTTTAAAAGCAAGTAAAAAGATGCGTAGAAACGATCACGGAGAGGTGGCACCACTCTTTCTCTGAGTAAATAGCCACAAAGCCATTCCAGATTGCCATATTCCACAACATACATATCCTAACCCTACTGCCTATACCCCTTGGATTAGGCTGCACCCCAGACGTTGAGGACCCAGAGCGCAGAAGCCCTGTAGCAAACAAACCTGCCTCCCTTGTATAGTAGTCGCCAGGATTGCCATGTTTATGCCGTTTAGACACGTTAACATTTGAAAGAGAATTTGAAATTGAAGGAATGAATCCTACTTGACAAAACAAAAGGCGACACCAGTTTCTCCCTGGGAATGACCCTGTCGGTGTCAGTAGAATTGCAATGTGTTAATTTATTCCAGCATTTCTGAGCTGGGGGGTTCTCTTTAATATACGTCAAATTTCCTCTATAATGACCTATTAAAATTCTAGGGCTGACTCAATGCAGCTATGATATTCTCGGTATCCTGCAGCATAGTTGGCAGAGCAAGTGCACACTTTTCATTTCTTTACTCTGTTTTTCTTGCTTGCTTGTCACTTCAGTTTGCCCATGAGTGTTTGCCTTGCGCAGTTCCCACCCAGAAAGAATGCTAGGGCTGGGTGGTAAATAAGGGACAAAGATAGTATTAACATAGATAACAATGAGTTTTTGTGTGTGTGGCTTTTCAGAAAGAAATTTTTGAAGAAATTTTGTGTCATTTGACATTTTATAGCTTTTATTAAGCAAAACAAATTTATATGTTTGCATTTTTATTCAAATCAATTAAACTAGAGGTACAAGGTTTTCTTCTCAGTTTTGAAATTCATAAAGGTGTGACTGAAAAGAATGATTTTCCCTGACATTAAAATGTTAAATCATCATCAGAACTTGCCTCTGGGCTCACAGGCAATAATGTGTGCATCTCCTGTTCTCTGTTTTACTTTTGTCTCACATGCATAACGTAAGACCCCTACTTTTTTCAAAGAATGTGCATCTTTCTAGTACTATGTAGTTTGGACAAATTTAGCTAATAAGTTACATGTGCAACTAGTCCTTGCTGGTTAGAGAGTTCTTGGTATTTCTCCTTTCATTTTTCCCTTTCCAACATATACATCCTACAAAGCTTGAAAGCTTTGGAAAGGACTAGATGTAAATTAATCACTTTTATTAATAATTTAGAAATATTAACTTGGACCTAAATTTTGTTCTTCCCTTTCTCTTTGTCATTTCTGGACTAAGACAAGTATTTCTAGCAGTGGCAAAAATACTGGCATTGTCCCACAGTGCCCAGAAACCATAGGAAAGAGTAGCCAGTGCAAATGGCAAATGAAATTTTTAGTCATATTGTGACTCTCACCAAAGTGAGTGAGGCTGGAATTCCCTCATGGTATATCTTTGTGCTATAAAATATCATGTTGTCTGATTGCTACAAAAGTTCTGATTTTATTATCTAACACTACTTTCTGCTTGTCTTTTTGCTCGTTGTCCCTCTAGTCATGTGAATTTTCAGCCCGCCCAGCTTGACTGAGCATTTCTGTCTGGAAGCGTCTTGGGAGCAGCTTTCTTCTGAGGTACCCGGTACTTGCTGCTTTTGCTTGAGCATCGTAGAAATTCAGGGGTCGTCTTAACTTCAAAGGTATGAGAACTACTGCACTCAGATAAACTGTAGTTTTAGAGATGAATAATCGGCTGCTTACAAGAATATTTCAGTGGCCTTCCCTGTGATTCTGTGTTGCTGTTGTTTTGTTTTACTATTTCTAAATACTCTGTTATGGATCAGGTCCTACAAATTACTTAGAGGCATCCTCCAGACTAGACCTTTGTCCAGCTTTGAAGATAGTTTTCCTGGGTTTCATTAGGTCACTGCTTATTGTGAGTCTAAATCACCGAGACTTAAGTGATGCAGAGAACCTAGCTAACTCACAAAAGCTGAGGGTGTCCAAGTTGTTATGGTCTGGCACATAACCGTCCTAAGAAGGAGTTAAATATTACATGGAGCCGGGAATCCCCATGTCTGAGTTTTGCACCAAAGATATTGGATACCAAATCATCACAAATGCTTGTTTTTCCGAAAACACAAACACCCTTCTGACCTCTCTAATTTTCTGATACAAACTAAGAATCGTTTCATGATAATCAGAGTCAAGTATCAGTTCCAGAAAGCCATCGCTATGCATTATAGGCACTTACGCACATTAAAAAACAAAACAAGCAATCTACCACTTTCCAGGATTAATGCTATGAAACATTTTATGGGTGGTCCACAAGTGGACAGAACGTTGCACTAATGTGTGACTGCATGGCAATTAAGCTTAATTAGGGAAGGTTTTGAAAAAGACAGATGAAAGTAAATTATGGGAATGAAAGCAACTGCGCTTTTGGGGACCACGCTCTGCTACATTAGTTCAGTGAAGTGTTCCTAAAAATGTCCCCTGTCTGTCACATTCTGACACACATCCAACAGCTTGTCAAACCAAGCATTTTCCTCTAGGAGGAGGAATCTCTTAGGAGCACATTCTTCACCCGGTCTCTGCTGAACTCACTGGTTTCTTCAGGAGACAGCTGCACTTCCATAGTAAGAGCAGCAGATGACCCTTAATACGCAGCCATCCGGTTTAGTTTAGTATTGCCTCTTTTCTACATGGAGTAGCAGAGGTAATGATGAATGTGGGTTTTCATTTTCATGTGTGTGCCTGGGGAATTTTTTCACAATTTCATATTTTTAATGCTTTCTCAGATTCATAACTGAGCATCCCATATGGAACATTTGATTCTGGTTCCAGTGATTTTTTTCCCTGGTGAGAAGACCTCGGTAAGCAGACCTGGAGCAGTTCCCAGGCTTCCACACTGCATGGTTCAAGAGCATCCCATCAAACAGGCTCTTTCAGAGCAGAGGACTTCGGGGTTTCTGTGCTCAGAGACAGTCTGTTTCAGGGCTAGGTGCCTATTCCCTCTCCTAGAGAATTTTAAAGGAGACAAAATTTAACACACTGAAATACTCAGCAAAACAGAATTGCTTTTTTCTCTGCTCTGGACTAGATGGTTGTTACTGCAGGCACCATTATAGTATGCTATGTTATATTGGATTTTATTAAATTATGGAAAATAATTAAGTAGAAAAGCAGGGAAAAAAGGCTACACAGTCAGATCTTTTTTTAGCTTGGATAGTGTCTGGTATTGCTTTCCACCAGGACACCGGGATGCTTTTTTTCCCTAATGAACTTTTTATGTCTGAGATGAAATACAGATTCTGTGGACAATTTATTAAGAAAAACATCAGTTTCATGTGAGCAGTTTTCAGACCAACGGGGAATTTATATGTGGAAATCATATATGGGTATAGGGAAACACCTCATAAAAAGAATGACTACATGGTCAGCAGCTGTAATTTATGTGCATTTTTTTTAATAAAAAAATGTGTGTTCAGACCAATCTTTTCTTTTTTATTGCAGCTCAGCAAGGTAGCCTCAACTGTAGTTGTTTAACCTTCTGACTTTCTTTGTTTTGTTTTTGAAAAAAGAAAGCTAAAACCAGCACTTTGTGTTTTCAGTTACGAAGCCTATTCATATGTGAAAGGTGCAGTAAGGACACCTTTCTCCACTGAAGGAAGCTGAAGTAAGTGTTGATAAAAATATCACACATAAAAGAGTGTGTTGAAAATGAAAACAGAGAGACAATAGGATGCTAAATATAAAAAAGAAGCTAGTTCTGGGATTTGACTGCTGAGCATGAACGGCTGTGCACAGATAATCCAGATACACCTCCTTATGCCTAAACTCTGCATGTTAGATAACATTTGTCTGCACATACACAGATGCAAAATTTGCAAATGATGTGTGTGTCCATAAGTGACAACTTCCTACAGGTAAAATTTTGTGGAACCAATCCAATTAAACATTATATTCCTAGAAAGGATTCTGTAACCAAACCTCTAGATGGGAATCTCATAACCAAACCTCTAGATGGGAATCTCATATTTAGCACAAAATGCTATTTCTGAAGAGAGATCCCCTTAGCTGGGAACCTTATTCAGATCCCCTACTTGCCTCCACATCTGTGGCTGGAAAGTGAAGGCTCAGCCGAAAGGTGGCTGGTCTGTGAGGTAATGAGAAACTCCAGGGTATGCCTGGATCCGTGGTAACATAACACGTGGGAGGCAAGCTGGCACAGTCTCCTTGGCAGAGTTGTTATGAGCCCTCCATAGACCCATTCCTTCATGGAGATGATTAGATGTTGGGGGAAGCCTGGTGTAGTTATGCAGCAGTAGGTGAACAAACCATTTCCCCACTAAAAGCCTGAAACCAGCATTTATTGCTTCCTGTTATGTCACAGAAACATCACTCATCTGTCATTTTGACCATAGCCACTCTCTTTTCATCTTCTTCGTCTTCCTGAAAAGCTCTGCCCTACACGTCTTTTACAGATGCTGTAAATGCTCCCCTCCAGCAGGTTTCCCAAGATCTGCAATATTCC